TTTAGAGATCTTGAAGCCGTTTATGATAGCCCATTTGTTTATTTTGTTGATGCTCTGTTGTAGTTGACGCTCAGCTGTTCATATGTATCTGGATGTGGAGGTGATACAGAAGTCATCAACATACAAATAGTTATCAACTCCAGGATTTAGGCAATTGGTAATGCTATTAATTTTGATGTTGAAGAGGGTTACCGACAGTATACTTCCCAGAGGGACACTCTCTTCTTGATTTTGAATGTCCGACAGGGTAGAACCAATTCGGACTTGGAATTTCCTGTCTGAAAGAAAAGATTTTATGAAGTTTGGTAGTCTGCCTTTCAATCCCATGTCATGTATGTCTTTCATGATCCCATATCTCCAAGTGGCCTCGTATGCCTTTTCCAGATAAAAAAAATGGCAAGAAGGTGTTTCTTTTGTACGTTTGCCTCCCTTATGGAGGTTTCCAACCTGGCCACATGATCCATTGTAGATCTTTGGTTTCTGAAGCCGCATTGGGAGTTGGTGAAGTGATTATTCGATTCAATGTACCAAATTAACCTTTTATTCGCATATGTTCCATAGTTTTGCACAGGCAGCTGGTCAGTGCTATTGGACAATAATTTGTTGGATAGAGATTGCTTTTCCCTGGCTTATGTAAGGGGATGATGGTGGCTAGTTTCCATGATTCTGGGATATTACTATTTTCCCAGATGTAATTAAATGTATTTAATAGGTAGTCTAATGATTTTGGAGATAGTCACTTAAGAAATTCGTAATGAATTTCATCTGGGTCAACTGCAGCGTTGTGAGATTTTTGTATGGTTTCTTTTAATTCTGGTAATGTGAAGAATCCATTATAGTTTTCAGTGTTGTCTGAATTGAAATTTAGCTTTTGGCCAGCTTAATTGTTTTCCAGGTTTTTGCTCTGAACAATTTAAATGCGTTTAGGTTACTAGTAGAGGGTTCTTTATAGAATTTGTGGAGGGCAGCATTTCGCAGTCAGATTGCTATTTTACATTCATTATTAAACCAGGGTGTGTTGCATCTGTTTGATGGAGAAATTTTTGATATGGTTTCATTTGCTATTTTAATTAGTGTTTGTGTAAAGTGTTTTATTGGATCTATACTTTTTGGATTTTGAACCAGTCTTGTATTGCACAATGTTTTAAATTGTTGCCAGTTGGCCTTATTTATTTTCCAGCAGGGAGGTCTGTTATTATCCCTGATAGGTTGAGTAATTTCTATTATAATGGAGAAATGGTCACTGCCACAAGGATCATCATGAACCTTCCACGTATAATCCATGTAACTTGAAGGATCTGATAGGGAGATGTCAATAGCAGAATAGGAGCCGGTATATGGCTTGAGATATGTTGGAGATTTATCATTCAAGATGCAGAGGTTATTGTTATTGATTATTTTTTCCAGATCTTTACCCTTACGGTTAGTTTTACCTCCCTATATGGTACTATGACTGTTAAGTTCACCTAATAATAGGTGAGGTTTAGGAATTTGTTTTATTAACTTGTTAAATTTAATATCATTAATAGGCTATGTGGTGGAATATAGATAGAACATATTTACTGTTTTTTGCAATGTTGTTTTGACAGCAATTATTTGGAGTTCACTGTCTACGGTTATTAGGTGTTGAGGTAAGTCTTTCCTAACTAAGATTGATACACCTCCAGAAGCTCTGTGTCTGTCTTTGTGTAAGTAATTGTATGAATTGTAATTTTTAATGTTTAGCTGGTTGGTATCCTTGAGAAATGTTTCTTGAAGGCATACAACTTTGGGGTTATATTTATCGAGGAGTATTAGAAGTTCTTCATAGTTGGTTCTAATTCCTCTGCAGTTCCATTGTAGAATTGAATTATTTTGCAGTTTCATTATGTTAAATTAGATTTATTGTTTTTCCTAGATTTGTTTATATTGCTCAGCTCTTCAGTCTCCATTCTTTCTATCGAGCTAAATCTATTTTTGGTATCAACCTTTGATGTTGATAATTCTGTAGATTGACTTGTTAAGTTCAACAACTTTACACGTTCCCGTGAGGATGAAGTTTGAGTATTGTCTATTTTAGATTGTGGGGCACGTTCTGTCTTATCATTGTTTGGTTCGGGGTTTAATGTTTGATTTTTCCCCAAGATTGTCACTTTTGTAAGTAGGAGGACGGCATTTTTTAAGTAGGCAGACGACTTGATGATTTCTGCGACTTTTGTTTCTTAGGAGAAGTGGTTTGTGTCTGCGCTGTTGTTTTTGTAGTCGTTTTAGTGGAAGATTCTCATTTGTCCGCAGGATTACTTTGATTAGTTGGTGGTTCTGAAACTGTAGCTGTATTATTTTTATCAAGACCACCCATGGCTTTTATCTTATTAATAAAATTGTCCCAGTCTCCCAGGTTCAGCTGCATTAATGTTTTAACAAATTCTTCATATTTGTTCTGGTGTTTTTTTTTTTTTCCTGAACAATTACTTGGGAATACATGGTAGTCTTAGACCCTACTACTATCTTCCGTGCTTCTTGGTAAGGAATATTATTTTTGTGCTTTATTCATAGAATTTCCTTTTCTCTTCTCCAACTGTCGCCACCACAGTTAGCACATTTATTGGGAAATTCACATTCATTCATGTGATGGTCAGGATCTTTTTGGCCACATTTCCCCACACACCTCTTGTCCTCTACACATGTCTTCATGATGTCCATATTTTTGACATTTATAACATCTCAGAGGGTTGGGCACAAACTGCTCGACCCTTTTCATGGTATAGCCTACTTTAATTTTCTCTGGTATTTTCGGTGAGTTAAATATCATTATATAAGTGTTTATTTCTATCATTTTACCTTCTTTTTTTATTGAAATTCATTTAACATCAATGACATCTTGTTTTTTTCAACTCTTTCTTAATTACTTCTATTGTACATAAAGATAGTTCTTTGCTTCTCACATCCCCCTTACTTGTGTTCAGGGATTTGTGAGGGTATGTTTTTACTGGAACGTTGTGGAACATAGTCATTTTTAGTAGAAAATCTGCATGTTTCTTCTTTTCCACTTTGACAAGCAGTGTCTCATTTTTCAATTTCTTGACAGTTAAAGGTGTCAAGTTGCCTGATATCACCTTTTCTATTATAAAGGAAGATAAATTTGTGATTGGTGAGCTACATGACTCTATAACAACAAATCTTGGAAAGGATGATTCCGTTTCATTATCTTAAGAAAATCAGATTCTATATAGTTGTGTTTAAGTTTTTTATTTGTAGAGGAAGCCATAAGTGTTTTTATGTTTTTCGCTGGTCCCATGCTCCTCCACCCACCACGGAGTCCAACTTATGTTGGGAATAAACCAAGGGGTAAACCCATTCGCCTTGGCTGAGACGGGGATACAAAACCAGTATAAGCACGCCACGAGTATGTTTCTGAACCTCTATCAAACGCTCAACAGTCTAATGTTGGTCAAGTCATATCTCTTGACACGATTGACCCTCAGCCCCGCCTTCTAGCATATATAATAAAAGGTTGGGTATAGTTCTGCAAGAGCAGATTGATAATTCTACACGAGCAGAGGGTATAACATGATTGGGAGAAAATAAAGACAAATATATATGCTAGGGCATGTCGGGACTAGCCGATTGATCGGATCGGGCCTCTCCAACCGCCCATCTAGCCCAGATAAAGGCCAAAGTGGAGTGTTGCAGTACCATGGCCGCTTTTTCCTGGGTCATGGATTGCTCAGCCACCAGGATCCTGTCTCCAGGCATTACGGGTGGCCCCATTGAGAGGCTTTTACTCTCTGCAGGGGGGCAGTCGACATATTCAGACACCCTGCCGACAGGGAGAAGGTCCTATTTAACCCATAAGTGGGACCCTAGCTGTTCGACATAGTTTATCGTCATACCCAGGATGCGGATGCAGTTTATCGTCATACCCAGGACGGTCTGAAAGAGGGAAGAGTGAATATTAAAAAAAAAATGTCCTTTTCAATTTCAAGGCCAACAAAATTTATTGAAAGCTTTTACTTAACTTACTCTAACTCAAGTTGATAGCACTTTCTTCGGTTATTTATGTTTTGGTTTTGAAGAAGAACAAAATAAAGTCTTCATTTGGATGTCATCAAATAAGGAGGTTATAACTGAACATATTGGTTATATAAATAACTATTTTTTAAACATAAAATGAAACCAGTTGCTATATTTTGGTAGTTTTGGCTCTCCACATGTAATTAAATTTGAGGCTAGTTGTTTTTTTTTGGGGGGGTAATGGAGGTCAGGGTGGAGACTGCTATTGTTTGACCTAATTGACAGGTGGAATATACCATGCTGTATTCAAATATGTTTTTTCTATATTTTAAACCCAAAGTAATATTTTCCAAAATTCTATTATTAATTAATAATAATAGCTCTTAATTTTACTAATTTTCTTCTGAAACCAATCTCTATGACATAGATGTTCAAGATTTTAAAATTGTCTTAAAAATATTCTTACATCATTTTTCACTTTAAAACAAATGGTTGACCAAGTCATTGTTTTAAAACAAGAAAAAGTCTCAAAAAACTTACTGTAATAAAAATTATTTTTTCTTTTTTTATAAACTTTTTAGGTTATTATTTTTTTTTTTTTTAATGAGATATGTTATTCTAACTAAATGATTAATGTTTAAGGAGGTTTAGTCCAAATTTTGGCAGTAAACGATATATCGGCTATATCGCTATATTTTTGTTTTTGCGTTGACGATCTCTGTTAAAAAATAACAGTGTGTGAACTGAATCATTCTGCTAAAGAAAAAGTTTCCCTCCCAATAGAAACCTGTATACCCCCTTTTCCATTGAGAGAGATGATCTTTACAGACTGTTTACATTTTTACAATGCTGACATTCATTCATTTGAAAAAAACGTCATTCTCAAATAGATTTCCCAAATAAAGGGTTGGAACTGTGTGAAATAAAAATGAAATTCAATAATTTTTATAAAATAGATATTTGAAGTATGAGTAAACGACTGTTTTATAAAATATAATTTTACTTACATCTGCGATCGCTATATTAATTGAAGACAGTACAAAGCTTTGGATTTCATACATAACATCATTTAACTATTTCTTAGCTTCATTGGCTTACCATGTGCTTGGTTAGTGCCCTTTATTTCTACATCGTTATGTTGCTTACTCAAAACAAATCTAGTTTCTAGGAAGTGACGTAATTCAACGTCACATCCGTTTTCAAGTACAATGGAGGAGATTGGTATTGTCGTAGTCGAAAAGGTAAACTTTATTGTTATTTTTCTAAATTATTATCATTTTATAACATTAGAGTGGTAATTCAACTATATATAAGAACAGCCCTAATCTAAACATATATAAATAAATTCACTAACTGTTGTATTTTAAATGGAATAGACAACTGATTGGTTGTGCAAGTCATCTCATTATGGCTGTTAGTAGTAACCGGTATCTCTTAAAAATTAAAAACTGAATTCTTGAAATAAAACAGGCTTGTGAATTTTGTGCATTTATTTGTACGTTGACATAAATTTTGTTTAAATGTATTTGTAAAAACATTAAGATTCTTGCTCAAGTGATAGATATCATATATTTTATTTTTTTTATTAAAAAAATATCTAGCTTTTTGTATTTCGACAAAAAAATTAATTTGTTGAAAATGCAAATAAATGCTTAGAAACTAAAATAAAAAACCTATGATTATAATAATATAAATTATACAATTCTAGATATTCCAAGTCAGTTGATGATAATATGAACAGAATAATGAAACATTTCAGCATTGTTAATTTAATGAATTGAAATCTAAGAGTTTTACAAGCCAAATTCTAATATAGGTGTGGAAGAGAGTAGTAAAAAGTAAATTAATTAAATTATTTATGATAAAATCTTCAAAAAGTATTAGTAAGAATTTTGAGAAATAAGTTTATAAAATGTTCTATCCTCCTCCTAGAATTTTTAAATTGTTTTAGTTAATAAAATGGTATTTGATTTTCAGGAAGACTTTGTCGTGACTGAATCACGGCCTGGGACGTCGCAAACCATTCCACACTATGACCCACTGGCTTTGGACAATGAAGATTTATACGTCAAATATAAGGTATGTTAGTATGAATTATTTATATGATACCTAATTTTTCTTAACATCTAAAGTTGTCCTTTGAAAAGTTCAGTTATTAAGCAGATGATGATTCTTTGAGGAGTATTATTACTTCATGTGTGACTTATACTAGGAAAAAAACTAATTTTATATAAACTAAAATAGAACCCTCCACCATTGGCCGTAAACAGCTCAGAAGGCTTTTTTGTTTATATAAAAAATATATCAAACTGGAACAAAATAAATGTTTGTTTTTTTTTTGCTTTTTTTAGGACGAATTTTAAAACATCCTAATTCTGCTAAACTAAACACAAATTCTGTTTAGAAAAAATTGTAAATAGTCATGTTAGTTACAAAGTTGATGTCCCGTGAATAAGTATTTGATGACAGAAAGGTTAATCATTTTTTATAAAAGTTATATCAGAAATAAGTGTGTTATTATAGTTGTGCAAGCACCCCACTAACTTCCAATATATTCAAATTCATATATTTACTTGTCATGCGTTAAAATTTACATTATGTCACTTAAATTGAATGTCTGTGGAAAATATTCTAGTTTCAGATAAAAAAAAAATCAGCATCAATAAAGTAAAGTTGTTTTCAATATGCAAATATTTCTAGGAAGGAGCATTTGTTTTATTTTGTAAATAATCATGCTCTTTTCAAACTTCATGCAAAGTTTGCGCATTAATTATTATTCGTTTTATTTTAATTTAAAAAAATGCTTTATTATTTAATTTGATCTTTTTAAATTTATCATTGCTATTCTACACGGAAAAAGATTCTATTGTATTATTTAATTCGTTTTTGTTTAAAGTTTGTTACTACACTCATCAAAAAAAAATACATTGCTTTATGGTAGTGCGTCGAGATTTCTGCGACAAAATTCTGTAAAAGAAGTAAATAGGCCAAAATTTATGCTTACTTCAACTAAAATACCCGGAAGTGCCCTGCGCTTAATTAGTAAAAACAATGCCCGTAATGTCGGACAAATTAACCAGAATTAGTCTGTTTTTTTTTGTTTTGTTTTTTGTCGATGACTCCAAAACGGTAAGTTTTATCATAATTTAATTGTTAATTCGAGTTCAGCATGACACAGATATGACGATTTGGGAAAAATTTAATAGATATTTAGCGCGGGGCTTAAAAAGCAAATTTACCTTATTCACAAATGATTGAAATTATTTTTGAAACTTTTTTTTATATATATATATATATATATATATAGGAAATTTTGCTAAAACCTTTTTTTTTCATGTTACCTCCCCCAACTTACTTAATTTTATGAACATTCACAAAAACCTTTCCATTCCCTGAATTTTTTTTTTATTCATTAAAAGTAGGACTCTATGCAGAATGTATTGTAAATAACTTAATTTTTTTTTTCAAACTTTCACTATTCTAACTGAAAATCTGCTCTGAATTGTAAAATAATGCAGTAAAACTATGTCATTACTTAATTAGAGAAGCTTTTAATTGCTTTTCTGAATAAGTTTTAAGTAATTGTCTGAAGAAATAAATTTTTTCCAATGAATAAAAATTTACAAGAATTTTTTTTTTTTTTTTAATTATGATAATTTATTATAGTTCAAAATCGTGTAAAATTCTGTATTGGGCTATTTCCTGGATGTGATATAGTAATTAAGTGAAAACGAAACTTACAAATACAAAATTGAAAAATATTTTTAAAATAATTTTTTTTTTACTTAATTTATATAATAAATGTTATTTATATTGAATTTTTAATCAAATAGTGAAGTAGAATACAAAATTTATAATTTTTCCCAAAACCTTTTTGCATCTGAAAAATTTAAATATGAATCATTGTACACTGAAGTTAAAGAATAAAATTTTAATTTCATGTAGAACTATATTAAATGTAGTTCATGAATTCATTATTACTCGCACAAAATCAGAAGAATTTCCGGATATGAGTAGCAACTTCTAATGCAATACATCTCCTGGGTTGTTTTCTAAGACAGGAAGTAGGAGGAGACCCCCTCCATGCACACAATACCACCAACTATGTAACTACATCAAACATTGCATACATAAAAGATGTGGCAGAACAGATTCAAAGAGTTTACCAAAATTACATGATCATTTTGGGTTTTGATCAATAAGTAATTTTTTGTAAATGTTTTCAATTTAGGTTTAACTAGCTAATAGTATAAACAACTATGATTAAGTATAATGTGTTTTACTTTTTTGACAAAACTTTGTTAATCTTATTAGTTTGATATGGCTTAAAATTGTAAAGTCATATGAAACTTATAAAAAAAGATTTTTTATTTCAGTATTGTCATTTGTGGTTTGTTTGTTTTTTTTTTATTGTCCAGTAGGTATGTCAACTTAGTGTTTTATTATATATTTAACATTTCTGCTTTTTAATTAAATTTCTCTTGTGGTGTATTGCTGTTGAATATGTTAGTTTCTTGATGCTACTGATCTTTTATAAAAGATTTTTTTTTTTTTTTTTTTTTTTTTTTTTTTTCAGCGCCTTCAGCGACAACTTGAGTTCTTGGAAGTTCAAGAAGAGTATATTAAAGATGAGCAAAAGAACTTAAAGAAAGAATATCTGCATGCACAAGAAGAAGTGAAACGTATCCAGAGTGTCCCTCTGGTTATTGGCCAGTTTCTGGAAGCTGTTGACCAAAATAATGGTATTGTTGGATCTACCACAGGTAAAACAACACTTTTTGCATATACTTACTATTGTAGTAAAGGTGTTTTAATATTTTCTTTTAATGTTTTATTTTTATTTTTTCACTGCAGGTTCCAACTACTATGTGCGTATACTCTCTACCATTGACCGAGAACTGCTAAAACCAAGTGCCAGTGTAGCTCTCCATAAACACAGTAATGCATTGGTTGATGTTCTGCCACCTGAAGCTGACAGTAGTATCAATATGTTACAACCTGGTAATTGTTTTTAAACTTAAGTGATAACATTTTATTATTTAGCATTTTCTTCTGTGTTATAGATGTGAAAAGAAGGTTTTGCACAGGACACGAATAAAACTATTTCCTTCGTGCTTCTTTCTTTCAAGTTGAATGAGCTTATTCTTCAATAACAGCCTCAATATAAAACAATTTCTATAAAATAGAAGGTAGGTTTTTAAAAATCATAATACATAGAAAATACTTTTTCTGTACATTTTATAAAATCTATTAGTGAACTACCATATATTTTTTTCATATGCTAAGACACTTTTTATTCTTGAAAAATGCCCTCAAAAATCAGTCTGAAGAGTCAAGTTGTAGCGAGGAGTTTGCCAACCCTCATGAATCCCAGTCATGAGATAAAAACCATCACCCCCCCCCAAATATGTCTACAATTATCATTAATATGTAATAAATGTGATATATCCTATTAGTATCATACCATATATATCATTTTGTTTTTAAAGTATTGATGATAACCAATACTGTAAGTCTTTCATTCGTTTAAGTATTACCATACAGTATCTTCACAAAGCCCAACCCCAACTACATAATATATGCTGAAAGTTACATTTCATATGTACACCAAGAATACCAGCCTCATTACTGCACTTTGTGTACTATTGAAACAAACCAGTTAGCTCATTAGGACTGCTGTTAATTCCAAATATAGTCAATTCCCAGTACCTATTATCTGCCATATTTGTTTATGGTGATGACACTGTGTATTGAGATGCTTTGTGGTGACAAGTACAAATTGATTCTAATATGAATAGGTATACTAATTATAGGTTCTTAGCATATGGGAAATACAGTACTCTTAAATATTATTTGTTCATTTTTTTTTCCTCTTATATAATAGTAATTGTCATTTTTATACAGATGAAATTCCTGAGGTTACCTACTCAGATATTGGTGGTATGGATATCCAAAAGCAAGAGGTGCGGGAAGCTGTTGAGCTGCCACTTACACATTTTGAATTGTATAAACAAATTGGTATTGACCCTCCTCGTGGTGTGCTTATGTTTGGTCCTCCTGGCTGTGGGAAAACCATGTTGGCCAAAGCTGTTGCACATCACACAACAGGTGAGTGCAACTGCCCAGGATGTTATTTAAAAACCAACAATGCTCAGATAGCTTAAAGCTTTGATATCTTTGTTCAATTGAGGTGCTCAAAAATACCTACCAAAACGTGTGTAAATTAAGTAAAATAAAGATTAGATTTTGCCTGCAATAAACATTGGGTTGTCAAAATTACTTTTAAAGCAACAAAACAATTTCTTTTCAAAGATACACATTGGTCTAATCTGAAAAAATATTCAATATTACCAATAAAATCATCAGGAGGAAATGTTTTTCTCATAAAATGATCTCCTTAACTTTTAAAAATGGATATTAATGACTTATTAAAGATTTTTTTTGTTACCAAGAGCAGTGTCTGTGCAAATATACAAATAAATGTTTAGTTTTATTATTAACTAACCTAACATTTTTAGTTTTTATATTCAAAAAATTTGCCTAGTCAAAAATGATGATATAATTGATTTGCTTGCGATTAATATAGTTTAAATTATTTCTATAAGGCTATTGAAATAAAATCATGTAAACTTAGTTTTAATTTTGTAAATGTATTTTTTCTATATTCTGTGTTTATATTTGAAAATTTGAATTTTTTTTTTTTCTCTATTAATGTATTTATGGATGTTATTTCTCTTAAAATTTACTTTGCAGCAAAATTCATCCGTGTTGTCGGGTCTGAATTTGTCCAAAAGTATTTGGGTGAAGGTCCTCGTATGGTGCGTGATGTCTTTAGACTGGCTAAAGAAAATGCTCCTGCTATCATCTTTATTGACGAAATAGATGCCATTGCTACAAAACGTTTTGATGCCCAAACAGGAGGTTTGAATGACTTTATCTCTTTATATCATCTTTTTCTATGAAATAATATTCTCAAGTTGAATCAGTTTTGGTAAGTTTGCCCGACTAAAAATTTTAGGAATCGCATCAATTTATTTCCAAATATTTGTATTGAGTGTATAAGATTTATTATGAATTTAATAATTATCAGTGTCCTCCATCATTTATTTTTTGAATATTTTATATACCAGAAACTGGAGAAGATGAACCTGCAATTGAGGTTTTAAGAAAAATATATATGAACCATTTTCATTTGATAAATGGTTTATGCTTAATATTATTTTCAGCTGCAAAATCTGGGTATAATTTTTTTTTTTTTTTCACTTTAGGTGACATGCTGTCCTATTTATTGATTTTGATTAACTCAGTAAACAAAAAATAAATCAGTAAATAAATAATGCTGTAATCTATTAATATATTTTTTGTAGCTGACAGAGAAGTACAGAGAATTTTACTTGAACTTTTGAACCAAATGGATGGTTTTGATCAAACTGTCAATGTAAAAGTAAGTCCTTATTTTCATATTGTTCTTTTTCAATTTTAAGTAAAGCATGTTATAAATCTCTGTAAATGTCAAAATAGCATCAAAAATACTTTAAATGCTTCAATTTGTTGAATCTCTTAAGATTCCACTTGTATGATTTGCTTTCCAGTTTTACTAGTCTTCTAAAAGTTGTTAAAATTTTCTATATTGTATACCTTCTCTCTAGTTCTCTTCCTTTTTTAGATTGTGCTTTCTCTTGTGAATTCTCTTTGCAGTATTAGATATTTTCTGTAACATTTCATATGCTTTATTTTGTTGTGTTTAGAAAGTTTTCATATCGTTGCATTCATTGTCCAAATTTGTTTTTGAATAAATTACAAATAAAAAATTGTTTGATCATTTGATTGAAATTCATAGTTTTTGTTTAATGAATAATGTCATCTCTTAACTCTCTTTGATATTAAAAATATCTTGTGTGTATTGTTTTTTTAATCCTGTTACTTTTTATCTGACTAGTTCTATGAGCTTTTATTGTTCATTATTTGTTTGCTTTAAATAGGTAATAATGGCAACTAACAGAGCTGACACTCTGGATCCAGCTTTGTTACGTCCAGGACGTCTGGACAGAAAAATAGAATTTCCTCTGCCTGACCGTAGACAAAAACGTTTAATCTTCTCCACCATCACAAGCAAAATGAATTTAAGTGAAGAAGTTGACCTTGAAGATTATGTGGCCAGGCCAGATAAAATCAGTGGTGCAGATATTAATGCTATCTGCCAAGAGGTGAGTAACTCACTGGTGTTTAATAATCTCAAAATTTGTGGCAAAGATGAATAAAGTAATTTCTTTTGAAGAACTGTAAGATTTTCTCATGACAAACTGAAGACTTTTAAACATTCACATTTTTAAATAATTAATTTCAAAAACAAAATTATATCCTGAATGGTTGCATTTTTAAGCTTATTTTATGCTTCAATATCTGCTATATTTTTGCTTCTTAATGTGACTGCTTTTATAGCAATAAGTGATTAAGATTTCTTAACTTTGAAGAGCTAAAACGTTTTTCTCATTGAGTACTGGTGTTATTTTCACCATAAATATTTTTATACATTGTACTGTGTCACAAAAAATAAAACAAGCTTATGAAGTAACAAGAATAAATTGGAATATTAAATGACTTAATTTAATAATTTTACATTAATAACTTAATGTAAAAGTAAAGTGTTTGTTTTTAACCCAAATTGAGTATTGTTTGATCTTTCTGTGCTACAGGCAGGAATGCAGGCTGTCCGTGAAAACCGCTATGTGGTGTTGGCTAAAGACTTTGAGAAAGGTTATAAAAACAATGTTAAAAAAGATGAAACTGAACATGAATTTTACAAATAAAATGTGCCGTTGTGTAGACTTGAGTTTTCTTATTAATAAATAAAATGGTAATCAAAATATTGAACCTTCTTTTATTATTTTAAAATACAAACATTTTGAACAATTTTTTCTCTTCTTACACTTATAATCTGACTTTGTATTTAATAGCTATACCAAGAAGCTATTTTTATAAGAAATTTATTAGAAAATGCTCATCTGGTTTTGAAACCAACCCACTGTTTTCTAATGTCCTTACAGCTGTAAATTAAAACAAATGACGTTTTTTCAAAGACATTAAACAAGATTTCAATGTTCATTAAAGCATTTGTGTTGCATGATAATTATAAAACGTTTTTTTTTTTTTTTTTTAATCATTTCACCCCAAACAATTTTTGAAGATTGTAGGTGACAGGGAAACAAGGAACAAGAAAAGAATTTCACATGTGAAAAAATAAACTATTAGAATAGTTACATTTCTCAATTTCAACAGTAAAACAATTAGATCTAGTATGCTTAAACTCATGCAGTACCAAGTAGAAGAGCTTATTAAAACAGCTGCCATGAAAATATATGGGCAACTATGTCATGACAGTATGATTTCTCTTTTTCATAATTCTGTTCCACCTTGTGTAATTTTTACTTCACCTTCATCAATATGTCTTTCTAAGGATATTATTTTAAATAAAAAATTTAAGAAATAAAGTTGCTAAATTTAGCACCTAATTCTTAGTTTTAAAATTTAACTTTTTGTGTTGGACATTTTCTATTATATACTAATTAAAAAATAAGCTATACAAACCCATTTTTATTATATAGAGATACAAAAAAATCATACTTCAGAAAAGGCAAAGTAATGGACAACATTTATATGGAAAAGAATATTTGAGATTAAATTTGACATTTAATCTCAAATATTCCAATTATTACAGCTCCTGCATGAATGGTATAGCTTATATATATATAAAAAATGCATTTTATTAGTTTTATTGTTAACATACATGCAATGGCTTAATTGATGTTTGCAGATATTTGCTAAACAGTGGGCTTAATTTTGTTATGCTTGGTGAATTTACCACGGACTGTTTAGAAAATCAATTTGGAAAATTAACAGTTCAAAATGTTATTGAAAAAACTAAATACTACTTAAATGTTGAACTATGTTCAAAGACTAAACTAATATTTCTTGTTAATGATTTCATTTTTTCCTTGCTTTCCATCCATTCTTTTTGTCATTTTTCCAGAATTAGAAATATCAGATATTCATCATCTAAATCTGATATCATTTTTCTTAGTGTCACCATATATTTCTTTGGCACAAACAATTTTCCAGAATTTTAAAACTTTCAATGAAATTAAGTTTCTGCACAATCTTCCCCATTTAATAATGGGTGTATTTTAATGGCAGCTACAGTTTGATGGCAAAAAACCTCTTAATGGGAAACATTTTATTGCTCAACAGGTTTTGGGTAAACTGCTACATTAGTTTTGACAGCTTAACAAATTGAGTTTTTTCATACACAAAAAGACTTATAATTTCCCATTTTGCCTTCGATAAAACAGTAATTCAGAAGTAGGTTGAGTAATCCAATTATTCTGAATATTTTTAAAAAGGTGGACATAATCAAAAAGTCAAAACAAACCATTTTTCATTATCCAAGCAAAAAAATTTGACACTGTTTCTAATAAAACAATGTCAATTTTTTTTAAAAAAAGATTGATGGGGCCTGTTCTCAAATACAATTGCAATTACTTTATTTAAACATTTTTATCATGATGCCCAATACTGTTTTTGCTAATCCCTCAGAATTTTCAGCTAAACCAAATTTCCAACATGATATTGTAGAGCAACTTTGACATACACTTCATCACCTAAAAAAATACACTTCCCGATTTTCAGAAATTTTAATAAATATATCAAGATAATTTTAATTATCTAATTTTGAGACTTGATGTCAAAGCTGATAATGTTCTCACACTAGGTAACTTAAAATTATCTTTAAGTCTGTTATATAATGGCTGAGATGTAGCAAAATCTTCAAATGCCCTAAGATAAGAATCATGTTTTGTCCCAATCATTTGTATTAAAATAAGTTCTTTTTAAAAATTTATATTTGACTTTTAAAAAGAGAAAAAATTGTTGTATATACACCAGCTTAGTAACATTCAAAACTCAAGTTTTCAAAAATTTTAATTGAAAATACTGGAATACCTCCAGTGAAAAAATCAGTAGATTGGATTGTTTGCATGTAACTGCTGACACAAAATCCTGTTGATCAATATTCTGATACAAATTTTTTAAAATGAGGATTGTTCTTTTCTAGAACCTGTGCCAACTCATCTTTTGAAAAGAAGCAGAAGTTTTATTTGTTGTTCTTTGTTTTGATTGAGGACTAGGTATTGGCAAATGATCGAGTAATGATGATGAATTTCTGGGTCATACTTTCCCTCTAATAACCACTGTTTCATAATCAAATGGAAAATACCTTTCACACACAACAGTGTTTGGCTTATCAGGTGTGTTATCTCAAAGTATAGTCTTTAATCATCATTCTGGTCTTGGGGAAGACAAAATACACAAACCTTATTTTAGTCATCATAGTTACCATGACAACCTGTTATGCAGAACTTTTTGACTATTTTGAGAAAGGTTTTGGTATACTGAATTAAACAAAAATATTAACAATTTTCTAAAAATTACATGGTGCTTCCAAAAGTGTATTAAACTTATATTCTAAGGTCTGGAGGTTTGGACTTTAGGATTTAGGTTTCAGAATTTAAAATTTCAAGTTTGTATGAATGTGTGAATCTTTTAGAGACTAACATGGATTAAGAAATGCCAGAATGAAGGAATTTGGGTTTCAGACATGAGAATTTTAGTGTTTGGAAAAATAAATTTTGGATAATTATATTTTACAGGGGTGGGTGGATGCAGATCAATCACCTCCTCTGCCATAAAATATGATTACTTAAACAAATTTAATATTTTTTTGCAATAAATATAAAAAAAAATATTAAACTGGTTAATTTTGTCTTACATTTTTAACAACAATGCTAGTAAAATTCAACATACAATTTTTTAAATACATGTAAATATTATTTTTTAAGTCAATATATTTGTCATGAAGTATATCATAGACAAAATATAAAATTAAATTTTTTTTCAAATGGGCAAATTTCTGTATTGTAAAATAAGAAAATTTGCAGTGAAAAAAATTACATTCATTTTTTATTTAGTTTTCTTATAAGACAGTGTCAACATACTTCATGTGTTATAAAGAAAACAAATTATTAAAAAAAATGAATTTTATAATCAAAATATGTTATGAAGAATAATAGCAAAAAGAAAAAAATTAAATTAGCTTTCTGTGACAAAATTCTTAACATTTTTTGTGAATTTCACTGTTTAAAATAATCACAAAAAAGTAAAAAAAAAAAAGATATTGACACGACAATATCATCTCATATTTTTTGTGGTATTTTTTTAATAGTTGTAAAATATTAAATTTATTATTGACTTCAATTTTTGACATTGACTTTGTGATAAATTCTTTGTCATTTTTCATTAGTTGGCAAGGAAAAACATTTACATTTTTATTTTTTAATTTATTTACAAAGGACAGAAAAATTCAACCTACTTTTTAAGAAATACATGTAGGTTAAAGAAATATTCATAAAAAATTAATTTTATACATATGGTCATTGTTGAAGAAAAATACTAAATTTAAATTAACTTTGTAATAAATTTTCTTGTCACTTGTGAATTTCACATTAAAAAAGTTTGTTCAAAGATAAAAAGAATATGCAAAGTTCAAATAAAATAAATAAACATTATACTTATTTCTGTATCTTAAATGATAAACTTAAGTTAATCCAAAGATAAAATGTAAAAATTTATTTAAAAAAAATGAATTTCTTAATCCAATTCCAGCAACGAACTTTCATGTGTGTTAATTGGTCACCCCCAGTCACCTACTGGCTTTACTTGATGTAGAGGTCTGAGTTATAAATCACCAATCTACTGACTAGTATTGGTATGATTTAACCATTAATTTACATTCTTGAGGGTCTCCTCCATTTCTCAACCACTTAGTGAGTGTAGATGGTAAACACAGGACCGTACTGTCTCCTATATTCAAGTTTAATTTCTTAAGAACGTCTGAACACATCTAATTTGCTGAAATTTTCTTAATTATTCCTTTTTCAACATTTAATTATAATAATGATTAAATGTAAGTCTTCTATCTTTTTCCCAGTTCTATTCCCCTAAACCAAGCCTTTCTGCATTTAACTATTCATCAACTGTTGCAAAGCCACTCTAGATGCTACTTGCCTCACAGGACTGGGTTTCCACCCACTTTATCCCAATAACTCCTATTATGTTGGCCTACACTATCAGAGGCAGATGTTAATGGTATGGTAGTAGAGCTTGAACTTTCACACCAATAATATTTTTTTTTTGCTGCTTGGCAATCTGGCCAAAATGGTGTCTGACATTAAAGTGCATATGAAGCAGAAGTGTACTCCATGCAGAAAAAATTACACCCACTTACATTCATCAATGTTTGCTGAATATTTGCAAAGACCAAAGCAGTAAACATGACAAGAAGTAAGTGTCTCAGTAATGGGTTGCTTATAATTAAAAATACAATTTATGTTGAGAGTATGTGGGAGAATGAAAATAAATAAGTAAAATAATAATAAAGAATTTCATTTTCCCATAATGCAAAAGAAAAAAGGAAACCAAAAAGAGTCTCCAGTCACATGTAAATTTTATGACCCCACTTCTGGAAAGGACATGATCGCTCTCTTTTCACCACCCAATCATTGGTCATGCCAATGAAGGGGAGATTCAGCCACCCTTACTCAACATCAGGCTGTCTTGAGGTTGACCATTCTCCACACAGCATTTTTGTACCTACATGCATCAATAAACAATGATGATTCATTTTCTACTCAAGTCTTCGTATTGTTTATTGCGGTCCACCAACATTCAAAATCTGTTAACGGCATGAAGTCCAATA